GGAGGGAGGAAGGGAGGAAGGATTTCTAATCCTTCATTATATTTTTGGCTGCTGAAATTAAAAAAAAAAAGCAAATACATCTTAAAATTTTTATTCATCTTTTCCTTTGAGACTGGTGTATGCAGAGGAGTAGAAGTGTGCAGGATAACCATATTAGCATTAAAGCTCTTTAATAAATATCTGAATGGTTGTAAGACAGTATAGGTTGGAAGAGACTTCAGGTGATCTGTGGTCCAGACTCTTGCTGAAAGCAAGGAGAGTACTTAGGTCATAGAATCACAGAACTGTTTGAAATGAGAGGGGCCCTTAAAGATTCTGTAGTTCAGCTCCTCTGCAAAGAACAGGGACACCTACAGCTTGATCAGGTTGCTCAGAGTTCCATCTGGCCTGACCTGGAATGTCTCCAGGGTTGGGGGCATCCACTACCTCCCCGAGCAACCTATTGCAGTGCTTCACTGCCCTTATTGTAGCAAACTTTTTCCTTCTGTCCAATCGAACTCTCCCCTCTTTTAATTTGAAGTCATTTACTTTGTTCTGTCACAGCTGACCCTGCAAAGGAGTCCGTGCTCATCCTTATTGATAATGAAAGGCTGCTCTCAACTCACCCCAGACCTTTCTCTTCTCCAGGCTGAACAGCTCCAGCTCTCTCACCCTGTCCTCATAGGGCAGATGTTCCATCCCTTGGTCAAATTAGGCTACTTGGGGTCTTTATCAAGTGAGCTTTTGAAAGTCTCCTAAAATGGAGACCCTGTTCTTTCTACGCTGGCAAGTATTTGGATACTCCAAGAACACTCACATGCTGTGTGCCATTGTTTTCACCTGGGAGTGACAAAAGAGGGCTGCAAGTTTGCTCCACTTCTGTTCTGCGCCATCACAGGTCAGGGCCTGACAGCCTCTTTGTAGTTGGGAAAAAGTAAAGTCAGAGTTTCTGCTTAGTGTTTTTGTACAACAACTGATTTTATGGAGCAGAAGAAACATCATAGAGTTTGTCCAGAGCCAGTTATGGCATCATATTTCAGGTCACTTAAAGTTAAAGGCAGTGTTTTCAGAGGCATAACTGAGGCAGTGCACCTGTCTGATGAGACAATGAAAAAAACCAAACAAACTAGTCATAGATCACCAGCAGTGTGTTTCCTTGCTGTTGCGGTGTTTCCTTTGCTACACTGAAAGTGAAGGCTTTGCATCTCAGCTTCCATAGGTTTTCCTAGTTCTCCCAGAACACAGAGCTGTACAATAAAAATCCTTTCACCTTTTAAGGAACACATTTTTACAATTATGAAAGGTGCATTTTCTTTTTTTGCCTATTGAAGAAGAATCTGCACACATTTCCATTCTTAATTTTGAACACTACTGCTTTAATACAACTTCCTCTTAACAAAGGCAAACAAAGAGAAAACCACTACTGAAAAGCTCAGATAGCTCCATGAGTAGCAAAGCCAAGGAAGTTTCATTTTCTATAGATCTATATTATGAAGTTGAATTTTTTTGTGTGGACCCTCCAGTGTCTAATGATAACTGAATCATAGTATGGTTCAGGTGGAAAGGATTCCCCAGGGTTTTTCAGTCTAGCATCTTGATCAGACAAAGAAAAGGGAGTGCAGGTTATACGGACAAAAATTCTCTCTCACCTGTGTAGCTTAATAAAGAAAACTGTGTAGGTTACAGCACAGCCATCTGGAAATCAACTTAGGCTGGGTAAACTTGCCAACTCAGATGTGGCTGTCACACAGCGCAGTCCAGAACATTCATGTCTGATGCTTTCCAAAGACTGTGTTATAGACATCACCTAAACAGCACTGTTATAATTAGTTTTGCATTAGTGTAGGTACATGGAGAGTCACTAGTTTTTTGCTTTGTTGATGATCACAGCTAAACTGGCCAACTTTGCCAAGAAGTCATCTTTGTTTGATAGCAATTCATTTTCAGTTTCTAAGAGGTTACTGCAAACATGGAAAACGTGCAACAAACAGATCCTTCCTGCAGAAGCAATGAATGCATATTGAATGACCCTTGAGTACAGATAAATTTTCAGCCATCAACACCGTACTGTTCCTGTTTTATATTAGTTTTCCATATTTATAAGTTAGTGAGTGCTACACATCTGAGGTGGTAAGTTGATCGAGTTCCAAGGACTCTTTCTAAGAAAATCAGGCACATTTGTAAAATCCACAGAATACATTGTTTAGAGGCAGAAGCTGGAGGTACAAGTTGGGATTATGTATTTCAAATAGATAAAACCAAGAGTTCTTCTCTGTTAAATTACTGGGTTTGTGTTTGGATTCTTTAAGCCAGCTAGTTTGTCTCTTTCCTGTGCCATCTCATCTCTTCGGTACATCCAAAAAACTGTTCTTCCTCCAGTAGTCAGCATTTGAAGGAGCCCTTAATGTGGCAAGAAAAGTTGGCTCTTCAGAAGATCTATGGATAATAAAATAGTTTTGTATCAAGCTGTTGGATTTATTTCCCACAAAACCTACAGAAAATAGCACAATCTCTTCATATTTTCCAATGCTCTGTACATCTTCATTTTCACTTCCCCTCCCCCCGAAATTTGACAGTTAGAGCCTTCTTAGGAAAACATCCTCTTTTCCTGCACATGAAGTCTGATCCAAATCACAAAGCCTCTCTCTTTACCAAGCAGACGTTTTTCTTTCCTGCCTGGTCTCACAAGCTATCTTCTGCTAAGTGCCTGAGTCATCTGGTTCCTCTCTACCTCCTGAACTTCCTTTGTTGCTGAGTACTCTTCCTTCATCAGTTCAAGTCTGAGTTATTCTGCTTAGGGACTTTTCCATTTTGCAACCACTCCTTGTTTTAGACTGTCTGCATGGTGTCTTTTTCCTATTCATGGAGTTGCTTTTCTTACCTATAATTTCAGTGGTATTTAACAAACTACTGCCATGAGACGTCCTAAGTTGTCTTGTTTGAAAGCAATCACTCAGATCTAAAGCCATCTGCCCACCAGCAGAGCTGTGGTGTCATATGTGATAGGATTGGTATAACATCACATATAATGCTAACACAATACAAAACTACAGTGACTTCACTGTACACCCATAATTCACCAGCTTCATACCCTATTACTGGAAAGAAAGAAAAAAATTAAGTCTGTATCTTCATTGCTCAGAAAATGAACTTTTCTGGAAGATAAATGAAATGAGAGCTCGTGAGACTCCCTCAATAGGAAGTAAGGTTCAGCCAGTTCTTTCTGTAACATAGTTTTGCCATGCAGTTAAGAAGACATACTGTATCACTATATTGCCCTGTCCCTGGCTTTTAAAAGATGACTAATGTGCCTTAGTCCCTGTATGAAAAATGCATTTTGTAGACAACACAGAGAAGGCCAAAACTGCAAGTAAGTTATTGGGATCTGCAGATCGGTGAGTTGGTTTACATCAGGGAGATATCATCTACACAGTGAGGACAAAACAAACTGTACTCTTTGGTCTAAATGGACTTACTGAAAGAGATAATAACCTGA